CAAATTATGGGTATTTTTTAAAACGAATAAATATAGAACATCACACGATTTATTATGGGAGGGTAGGACAATTGCCCCCCCCCCCACACTCAGAGACGAATTGGTGTATACACTGTTTTTTTTTTTAAAATAATTATATAGGTATCATATAGTTTCTTAAATATTTGTTTAATATTGTACTGATTTTCCCATTTTTTCTACGGTTTTCCCGGTTTATCACATTTTCTGAGCAAACTCTTGGGAAAATCTGTGATAATAGTTTGTTATGTGATAATAATATTATCAGCTTAACCTTTTGGCCTTGGTGAATGACGTAGGCATGATGTGCATCACTGAGTTGCTGACATACCTAATTAATTATTCATGACCATCGTACCTACCGAATAGAAATTACTTAAAAATTAAAAAACTTAAATTTAAATTTAATTGTCTATAAATAACTCAAAAACGGCTTAAATGGTTTGAAAATTTTACTACGTTTAGAAAAGATAAATATACATTTTTGTCCAAAATGTAAGTTTCTACGAATATTTTTAACTGCCTCAGATTTTTTTATAATATATTTATGTACAATCATTTATTATTATTAGTTACCTACTATTATAGTTTGCTTTTACTAGTATACACTTGTCAATCAATTTTTAGTTAGTTGCTTTGAGCCTTAATATTTTTAGATTGACAAACCTGGTTACAGGAAAAAAATGGATAAAGAAAGGTTGATTGGTTTGGAGCTTCTACATATCCATTAAGATATAAAATTATATGTGGATAATATTATAAACAGATTTGCTAAAAAGAAAAAAAATGATCTATACATTTAGTTTTATAAATACATGAGTTCTTCATTTTAATTTAACTAACTATAATTTTGAATTTAAATAAAAATGTTATTATTAATATTGTCAAAGTTGTTTTGTCAAAATTAAATTGAATTAAATCTGAACTGACCAGGTTTAATTTGTAAAAAATGTACCACCTACATCATTATTTAAATAAATTATTACATTTTATACATGATTTAGTACAACTTGGAAAAAAAATCTCTCCACCTCCCTAACTTAATTTAACTAACTTAAACTTATTGGAACAGCCATGTTCGATATCAATTGGCTAAAATTTGTATTTTTTACTTTTTTTTACTATTTAACTTTTGACAATTATTTAATATTGATATTATCGAAACATTACCCAAACAAGGAAAAAAAATGCATTTCGGGTGTATCTAGAAACGAAAACCATCGCTTGCTCGAACTTTTTTAACCATAAAATACCCCTTAAATTATTGTGCAAACTTTTCTACCCAAATTTCTTGTTTCAATGTATCAAGTGTAGCTTATTTTCTGAAATGAAATTTTATCTCCACGGTAATTTTAGGAGGTCATTTTTTGATTTTTCAAGTGGTTTTCATAATATAAATTATATAATATCTATAAAATTATGAAAAAACAGAAAATGTACGAAATGTAGTTATAAGTAAAAAAATTATTATGGCTTTTTTTTCTGTGTATAACTTTTCTACCAATAATTTTCTCCGATTTACAATGATAGCACTTCTTTTGAAAGGAAATCTGACTTGGAATTTTAGGGAGATCATTTTTCGATTTTCCCAAGAATTTTCCCAGCAAATGTGAAAAACAAGGAAAAAATATGGGAAACCGGGAAAAACCCAGGGAAAACAGATATATAAATATAAAATATAAAAATAATATTATTAAAGAAAATATATGATGCTTATTTAATTTTTTTACCATAATATGACATATGTATATCGTTGACAGAGTATAACTATCAACTGAACTGCGCTCAAAATTGTTTTTTCATTAGCAATGGTTTATCGTTTCTTACAGATATACATTTAATTACCTATAACAGTGGCTGCATCAGTCTCCATTATCCTAGGACGTCTTTGTTTGTTGTATATGATTTAAAAAAAAAGATTTAATAAATTGAAAGCGGTGATCTATTAAGGTGTTGTGTTTAGGCAATTTCGAATCTCCTCGTTTTCGCCAGTGATCTTTGTTTAGTTGTAGGTGGCCATTATTATAGTGTGGGTGCGACTCAGTCTCAAGAAATTCGTTTGTATAAACTAGTGTACTGATAAATTTAAGCAACGATAAACCATTGCTAGTTAAAAAACAATTTTGAGTGCATTTCAGTTAATAGTGATGCTACACTTAATACATCGGAGCAAGAATTCGGATAGAAAAGTTTACACAACAATTCGGGGGGTATTTTACGAATAAAATAGTTCGAGCAAGCGATGGTTTGGGTCTCTAGATACAACCAAATTTTTTTCCTTGTTTAGGTAAAAGGAAAAAAAAATCCAAAAAGTTTTGGTTAAAATCCGAGTTTGAACTAGGGACTTCTAGGATGATAATGGACATGTATAATTATTAAATCACGTCAAATATTCTTTAGAACGACAATATAGAGTTATTTAATATAACATATAATATCCGCATAATATAAGAACTTTAAAAAGCTATAATTTTGAAACTTAGTCTGCTTAATTCTGATTTCACCATCATTCTTAAATCGGCAACATACATAATTTCGAAACAAAAAATTGAAAAATTAGATTTGTTCCCCATAATTTTTTACTCAAATTATGTTTGTCAAAATTTGATGTTAAAATTAATTTATTAAAAAAAATATACTACATAAAGTACAATTTTTTTTTTTTTACCACAAAGTAAGACTTAATGAAGCTCCTGTAAAATTTTCTGATTTTTAGTAGATAGTAGAATGTTCATGGTATTATAAAGGTGTAACTTAAAAAGTAGGTACTTATAGTAGTGTATTATTTACTTTTTTACATAATTTAAATTATTATTTTAAATGAACATATAAATATTAAAAATTTAAGTACCTATACTTATGAAATACATTTTGAAATTTATCAAAAACAGATTCATTAGGTTCATTACCTACTCGTATATCATCAACTAAAAACAATATTAGTTCTAACCTTTTAGTTCTTTTATCACAGTTCACAATCTTTGTGTTAGTTTTTTTACAGTATTTGCCTCTACTCTATAGTAATAATAGTATTAATATATTATATTAATAAATAGTTAAAATTATAATCTAATAATAAAAAATGAAAATATAATAATGAAAATAAAATAGATTTTACCCAGTTGGTATTAATCTTGAATACCAACAAAAACTTAAAAATCTTATGTCTGATGTCTTTTCAATTTATAGTAACTTAAAAAATTGCAGATATATTGTACAAATGCAGTTAACTAGTACCTACAATTTAGAAGTTAAATTAATTTTTTTCACATTAAATAAATAATAATTAAAATAATGATAATATGAATAACAAAAACAAAGAGAATAACAATTAATAAAAGCTGTATGAACAAGTCCAAAATACTTTTATTTTAAGTAGCGTTTTGCAAGCGGTTTGATCAACAATATTTTCTATGCCTATTAATGTTTTAATTTTGATGAATACCTATTTAAAAGTGATAAGCCAGTTAGTTTCAGCTTAAAATTCTTTGCCACATAGTACGACTTTTAATGAACCCCTTGTTAAATTCTCAAGCATTTCTGTTTGGTCTTACAATTTTGTCCACATAGTACCTACCAAATAAAAATTACGTACAAAACTCGCAAAATTAAAATATCTTTAAATTGCTCAACAATTTTACTACGTCAAAAAAAGGCAAATATAAATTTTCTATTCAAATTTCAAGTCTACGAATATTTTTAACAGAATTACAACAAAAAAACAAAATTGAAAATAATAAAAGCATCATTTTCGTAAATTTTCCCGTTTTTCTTACGTTTTATCTTGGGTTTTCCTAATATTATGAAAACTTCTAGGAAAATTAAAAAATGACCTTACTAAACTACTATGCTACAATTACATATTGAAGCAAGATTTCTGGTAAAAATTTTTGTCATAGTAAAAAAAAAATAAAAAAATCATTGTAAATTTAATAGGTACATTCTTTGCCACACTCAGAATCTAAAATTTAAATTAAATTAATCACTTCAATTTTGATTTTATTAATATATTATTTTATTAAATCTTTGAAAATTGATTGTTTTTACTTAGTTTTCCATAATTCTATCAATCCTTGAGAGAATATTTATTGAAATATATAAATGAGAATTGTTTTATTCTTATTTCAATGAAATTATTTTCAAGATCCGGAATTATCTTTATGGCATTTAGAACCAGTTGTATTTGTATTTATTTGTACTTAAGAATTATGGATAATTTGTGTAACAAAAAAGAACACCACACTATTTACGGGGGGTCACCCCCCTCGTCACCTTTCAGGGACGCGACTGGTTACTCAAAATTCGTATCATAACTGACGTAGTTTAGAACAAAGATAGGTATAATGATAACCACCTGGTCAATGTTATATAAATTATTTCAATACTACCTACGCTATCTAGCAGGAATAAAATTAAAGTAAACAACAAATGTTCTCACTCACAGAGCTCTCGCTAGTCGCTATAGTATTTAATTTGCCATGAAGATTGAAGGACACAATATTTTTAGGTACCTACCTATTTTACATTTTATTTTTTTTTTTTAGACTTTAAAGCACTGAATTTTATTGTAATTAAGGGCAGTACATTCCTAATTAACTATATTTTAATAATATTACAATACGTTGCATCGAAAAAAAGTACATATCAATTCATTATTATTAAACTAGGTATGTAATTAAAAAGTGTGAAGTCGTTAAAAATGATGTTGAATTACATGATTCATTGATTTACATGATAAAGTGGATACTATAAATAAATGCTTATACGAGTTTTGTTAATCTAATAGATTTTTATATGTTTTATTATCATTTATTAGTATCTAAAGATAATATTAATTATTTTTAAATGGAACAGTTGCTGTAGACTGATGAAGTTATTTTTATTCATTTTGGTAACACATACAGGATTTTATTTTATTTTTATTATTAAATTATCTCTCGTATAATACCTCGGAGCAGCTTTAAATTATTGTATAGCCCTATTTAGTACTTTGTAGGGTAGCCTTTGGACCTTATTATAGCCTCTAACCTCTTAGACATTGAATCAACCAGATGACGTGTTGTTTCTGCTGTGATTTTATTCCATTCCTCTTCTAGAGCTTTTTTTAAAGTTTCCTTACTTGAAATATTGTGATCTCGAATTTTTCTGTCCAAATAATCCCACAAATTGTCAATAGGATTAATGTCTGGAGACTGTGGTGGCGTCACAAGATATTCAGTTACATTGTTCGACAACCAAGCCTTAATTTTTTTTGCAGTGTGCTTGGGATCATTGTCCTGTGTAAATATGAAATCATCTTTGATGCCCATTTTTTCGGCACTAGCTGCAAGATTTGTCTTCAAACTATTTAAATAAATATATTGGTTCATAATTCCATCAATAAAGTGTAAGTTTCCAACACCCTGAGCACTCATACATCCCCAAACCATTACAGAATCTCCTCCGTATTTTACTGTAGGCTGTAAATTCTTTGGTTCCATTTCTGTATTCACTTTTCTCCAAACAAAACGTCTTCCATCAGAGCCAAAAATATTAAATTTACTTTCGTCTATAAATATANAGCTACTCGTCCATGGTAATCACTATTTTTTAAACAATTTCTAATTTTACTTACACAAACACGTACTCCAGAAAAATTCGCAAGATCTTGTGCTATTTCAGGAGCGCTTATTTTTGGATTTAATTTGACTTTTCGTTAAACTATACGTTTATCATGGTCAAAAAGTTTTTTCGGACGACCAGATCGTTGCTTATTTTCGTGACTTTTCCGCTCAACTGTATCGATCTATCATGTCTTTCACAGTGCTATGAGCTCTGTTGACAATTTTTGATATTTGACGTAATGATTGGCATTAATTATGCAACCGTAGAATTAGTTCACGTTCAGTTTTATTTGTCTCGCATTTTTTTCGACTCATTTTGTGATAGATATTCCAATAATATTTCGAAGCTAACTGAATTGGTATAATCTTGTAACGTGATCGGGGACAAACTTTTAATGTGACATTTTGTATATCTTATCGTTTTCTAATAACATTATTGTGAGTAAACAGGTGATTCCGTAACTAAAATATAAGTGTACGAATATATATTGTTCCTATTTTATATGTATTTTTTTGTTTATTATTGAATATTATTATTAATATAACATTTGTCATGGTTTTTTTTTTTAATATAATTAAAAATCGTCAATGAATAATATGCATGTATTAATTTATTGATAAAAATAGAAAATCATGAAGAAAAATGTATATTTATTTAAAAAAGTAGGGTGTACGAATACTTTTTACTCTCACTGTATATATGTGTGTGTGTGTTTTTATCACATTTATTTTTGGGGATAAAACCACTACCTACTTTTGATTTTCAAATGGCAACCATATCGTTAGATTTATCGTTGCTTCCAATTTAAATTAAATAACTTTAAGTATCCTATCTTCCCAAATTTCCATTTACAACAGTAGTACACCTGACTTTAGTATTAGGTCTTTAGTTTTTTTTTTTTTAACCAATAAATAACTCGAGTTATAATTTTTTGCTTTTTGGTATTATTACAATATTAATTTACCTATTTGTAAAAATGTTCCGTAGATATTATATTACTTCTTTTATGTTTGTTGTGGATTATTTAGTTCGAAAAAGTAGATTCAATATCAAAATGCATTACTTAGTTTTGGTACGGTTACATAGAACTTTATTACACATGTTAATTAATTTGAAAGACGTAAGACAAATGTTAGTTCTATAATTTTCTAACTGAGTGGTAATCCGCAGACTCTTATGCATAAAAACCGTACATATTAATTATTTATATTCATTGATTTATAATAGAAGGTTAAATTTTGTCTAACGTAATAAATTATATTGTTTTTTTAAAAATTCAAATTATATTAGTCATAAATAACAGTTATAATTTGGTTTTGTTATGGACAATAAACATTAATGTTTAATGGGCACATTACAAGTCATCACACGGTTTACTAGATCGATTTTGACAAAAATAAAAAAAAATCCGGATTTGTAATCTTATTGTGCGCTCGGTGTAAACGATAAAATGTTTATTAAATTATTCGGTAAAATTTATTGTAGTAATATAAATTTAAACTCGTAGATAGGTATCTATTTTAGTAATTCAATATGATATCAGATTTTAAGTGATTTTCAAAAGTTATAAATTTGCATAAGTCCTTAAATTTTAATTAGATTACGTATAGGCATACAACTTTATTATGTACTATCATAACCCATGAAGTTCCTAGTCTCGTATTTAAATAATTGAACAATTACTCTATGTAAACAATATTGTAATTATAATTAATCGTGGAGTGAATTCAAAACAAAGCAGATTAAATGTGCAAAATTAATGAAATTAGTATAGCAAGTCTTTACTCTTTGTTTCTACCTCTATTACAGTTAACCGTTGTTGCCCGGTAATTAATTTTTTTATACGGGTATTTTCTTATTCGTGCAGGCAACCAATTAACTAATATTAACTGCCGTTTTTATCTGTGTTATCAAGGTAATCAAAAATAACTAAATGGTCATATCAAAAATATCATAAATCCATTTATGAGCCACCCTCTAGGTTTGAAAACCTAAAATTGGCCTACTCGCCTGTATGAGGGTGAAAGCCACTCGCAAATTCTGGGAATAAACTTGAGAATCCTCGCAAATTTTTCGCAAAAATTCGATACCAATTTTGACGAAATCGGATGAAGTGGGTGGGCCAACTTCAGGGACGTAGTTTAATCTAAAAACCAATCGCTGCTAAAACTGTACGGTCAGTGACTGACCGTGGTCAGCTTATCACGTGCACACGCGTAGGATTTTAATCGAAATTATTATACATTATAATATATTTTATCCGCTGAAAAACTAAAAAATTCTATACCATTCCTAAAATATTGTACAACAAACGAAACGTTTTGGCCATATTGCTATACCAAATAGCAAATAATGTAGCAAACTATAAACCGAAAGCTGCATCGCCAAAAAATGCCTTACATCTTTGTTTTTTAGAATGTGTATTGGGATAAATAAGACACTGTACAGTTGATTAAGTTTAGAATTTTGTCACTGAGTCAGTGTACATATAAATACGCCCCTAGAGCGAGCAGTAAATTATATCTTGGATTTTGTAAGCATAAAGTATAAATAATTTCATACAACTAGGTGCTAGTATGCCATAACTCGTAATATAATGCATATTCTGTTTCGCAGTTTATATTATTTGTTAAATATATGTTATTATCATACATCTTAAACAAAAAAACAGATCGACTGTAGTTCATAGTTCCAGATACGCTGACCTTTTTTTGCGGAAATGTTTGTTTGTTTCGTTTGTGTGACTTTTTGTCTTTTATGTCTTTTAATATAGTAAACTATTTTTAAGATATTTTTGTTCATGAGATTGATATGGTTAATATAATCTGTGAATTTTAAATTGATATCTTAAAACATAGTAAAACCGTTACATTCGTCGCTATGCCTCGAATCTAAATGTCAGAAATAAACCAGCATAGAATATTTGATTAAAATAGCGAATATACCGTAATAGACTATGATCGAATATTCTACAGCTGAAATTTTACTCGATTCTCTTCGCATTGGTATCTATATTGAAATCGTTACTTTACGAGATATAAAATATATAGTGACTGTATTAATATAATATATATATATATTTATCTACTATTCGATTCCGAGTACATAACAACAGCTGTTTCAATTTCCCACCTATAATACATTTATGGCATGGTATTATGATAGTTGCCGGCTTGCTATGTTTTACTTAGAGTTTCAGCTTGGTAGATTGAATGAATGGATATTTAGATATTAATTATTTCATTTGCATTATTAATACAAATTAATAATACATTATTATAGGAAAAAATATTAAGTATAAATAATAATAATAAAAAAAAAATCAAATATAATATTATAATAAATACCTATAATTTTTCGATTTAAAAAAAAAAAAAAAGTCTATAATACCGCGTCGTAATTTGTGGAGGTTTTATAGTGTATATGTATAAATCTAACAGTTCATCTATCCACTCCCTAGAAATTCTTGTTAATTATTATTATTGTAGTGAGGGTACGAATTTTTTCAAAAGTTACCCGAGTATATCCTTTTCAAAAACATTTAAAAGGTTATCTTTTATGAGTCAGTACCAGAACAATAAATTATCACCGTAGAGATAGAGACATTTCCTCTCCGATGACTTAAAACATTAATCGTTCTCATTTTCTAGAATAATATATATTTTTGTATAAAGGCATACACACGTCAATTGCAGGTTTGTTAAGTTAACTTTACAGCTAAATAATAGATGAAAATAAGAAAACTCACAATACTAGAGAAATAATTAAAACAAAGAGATTTGATATAGGTTTGATATAGATTTAATATTGGTAGCAAAATAATAATAAAAAAAAAAATGTATTTACAATATTAAACTTTTTCGGAAAATCTGATTTTACCATCTAGGTCAGAGGTGGCCAAACAGTCGATCGCGATTAACAGTAGATTACGGATGGTTTAAATGTCGATCTATATTTGTATATAATTATTAGTAGATAAATCATAATAAATTACTGCTCATTTTTATCTAAATACATCATTATTTTGTAGGCAATTTATCAAATAATGTAATACAACAGCGTTTATATACCGGCAATTGTATTTAAAATATTATATCAGTCTTAATAAAAGTATGACGAAAAACATTATTTAACTATATATTTTAGTTTTATTATTTGTACATGTATGTTTGTTTTTAATACCTATTAGGTAATTTATAATTATGTATAATATTTGTTAGGAAGACGATCCTCAAAGGAAGAATATATTTTTAGTATAGATCTCTGCCACAAAAAGTTTGGCCACCCCTGGTCTAGGTGGATAAATATGTTGCTGAATAGCTCAGCCTAAAAAATGACTAAACAAACAAAAGTTTAAGATAACAGTTAAAACGGTTTTTTATCACTTATTTATAATGTAATATAATATATAAAGGTAACAAATAAAATATAATAATTCTACTTTTATTAACTTTATTGGCGATAATCTTATACTGAAAATTCCAGAATTAGAAGATTAGAGATCAGAAAAAGTAAAATGTATTATATATTTTTAAAGTTAAGCTTTATTGTGAAAACAGCTAATTTTTCGTTTTTCAATTGAACACTTTTTGTCTAGTTTATAATCTCGTAATATTCGTATAATTTCCGACACATAGTTATCATTCATGGCGTTCCACGACGACATTTTTCTGATCCTCGCCAATGAAATTTTCACTTTTAAATTTACTTTGTTCCAATATCCGCAAGCCCGATAGTTCTTTTTACTTCTAATTAAAATAAATATTCTTACATATATTTTGAGATATTCAAAAATGTAATAGGATTTAAAAGTATAAAACTGTGATGGAATAATAATTCATTTGAAATTTAAATATCACGTATAGTATATTATATTATGAAAAAATCAATGCAGTTAAATAAAAAAATAGTGTTCATTTAAAATAAATACATCTTTACTATGAAAAACTTCCTTTTATACGATTTGATAAATTTATTCTAACACAGTGAGCAGTTTCATAACTGGGATTTTTTTTTTCAAAACCACAGGAATACAATGTTAATAATATGAGGTAAGAATAAAATAACTAATATGTCATTTCATATTTGTCTGCATCATTATTCTAAAAGCAAATTTCAATTTAAACGTCGTTAAAATACTATTATAGCTAAGAGTTAGTAACCAGAGGGAGACGATAGGGTGATCAACCACCTCGTATCCCTCGTTCATTCCCTAATATATTCTTAGCTTCATTTTCATCATATCATAAAAAATGTGTAGCTTATATGATGGATTTTCAAAATCGTCTTCAACCTGTTATCACATACGAATCCGATCCTGTAAGGAATCAATGTGATATTTTTAATTTTCAATGATAAATGTAGTGATATAAAAATTCAGTATTTTATGTTTTTATTTTTGTGCTATACCTCGTAAGATTTTCAGTAAAGTAAAAAAACTTCTTTTGGTGAATGAAGATGTAGGAGAACTATTCCTTTTTATCTAGTGTGTTATAATACATTTGTATACATATTGTATTCGATTTTAATTAAACAAAATATTCGACTTAAATTTATTGTATTTCGTAATATATGTATAAAGCTATAAATAAATATATTCCATCCGTTATTACAGTTTTTGTTTTCTTTATATTCCGTCGAAAATCGCTGGGAATTTTCGAATAATATTCCGAATATTATGTTATAGTAAAATAAACGAGTGTGTTCGAAATTTTTAATATAATCGTCAATCGGTCGTAAATTATTTTAAGTATAAATAATGCTTATTTCATTTTAGATTCCAAACGTAGCGAGGGAGCTATTGGTTTTACAATGTTGTTTATTTATTTTTCTTCTTTTTCTTTGTTCTAGTCTACGGACACGTTTTTTTCTAGTAAACGCGCTCCGATTTTTACGTATAGCAATTTTTCTAAAAGCTCATGTAATCTAAATTGTTCTTTAAAGAAGTTATTTTTTTTTGATTTTCGACGACATTTTTAAATAAAAGCACTTAAGTTGGAAAAAACATAGGAAAACGTACAATTTCACGATTTCATTATTTTATAAAAACTCGGACGACGTTTTCTACCATAAAAATGATTTAATCGAAAAACCACAATACACCTTATTGTTGCCTTTTTGATTTACTTTCTTACGGTATCATCGCCAAACTTTTGTGCTACTTTTGAGCTTTTAAAGAATTCTAATTTTTGGTAGTTTTTTTCTGTAATTAAGTTATAAATACACATAGATACTTTATACTTGGTAATAATACTTATATTAAACTTACCTAGACGTAGTACAATTTCCAAAAAAATCAGATGATTTTTTTTTTTTATAATTGTTTTGAAATTAAATTTAAATTTAAATCCCCCCAAAAAATGATGGAATTTCAAATTATGTATTACCGAACTGCGGTCAGAATTGTTTTTCGTTAAGCAATGGTTTATCGTTGCTTACAGATATAAATGAAATAACCTTATGTATCCTACCTTCCCAATTTCTCACCTATAACAGTGGCCACTCCTATCACCAGTATCAGTATTTTTTTTTTATTCTTAACTACATTAACTAAAATTGTATCACGATTAATATTTCACACAGTTGTTCATAATAATTAAAGTAACCTTATGTATAAATGTTTTTTTTTTTACTTTATACGATTGAATAAAAGCTGTAGGTACTACTTGCGTCATAACTTGGAAATAAAACATTAAAACGCTGAACATATTCGCTATAGGTACAAGACGCCCTCCACTACTTTTAGTTCGACCCATGAAGTTTTGTGTGTAAAAAAAAAAAAAACAAAAATAAATAAACAAGTAATAAATATTAAATAATTACCCTAAGGGACGTTATAATTTCTAACATGCTACTTGCGGCCGTCTACCGTAATATAACAGTGAAACTGGGTGACGAGAAACAATTTAAATTTTTATTTCTATAATTTTGTAAAAGCCACGAAAAAACGACGAGACTTTATAATCGAGCGACAATAATATTATTATTGTGATAATGACTCCGGTGGAAAAAAAAAATTGGACATATCTCACACCATGTGTGGGCCACTGTTGTGCGTGGAAAGTTGGAAAGGTAAAGAATACAGAGTAATTTAGTTTAAAATACGTATGTACCGACTGAACGCGAAAATAAATCATTATAATCGAAAGCTATCTACATATAGATGCTTACGGCGTGAATAAATTCGAGCGTTTCTACTAACCCAAAAAGTGTTTTTCGAGAAGAAAAACACATCAAAGTATAACATTATTCTTCATAATCTTATTTGTGCGACAAGTCACGCCATTCTCAATACGAACGTTGTGTATAGTAATTTTCACCATTATTATGACCCATAATAATATTATTTTATTGGTGAAATTATTATTCTGGTGCATTCGGGTCACAATACCAATGTAAGTTTACGGAACTTATAATTCAGTACATTTTTAATCAAACAAAAATATAAGGTATGTGTCGTGTTGTCAGAATAGTCATCACGTTGTTTTTTATAATGGTTTTTGACACGAACCTCTCGAATCTATATGTAATATCAAAAAGACACCCCTATAATACGCGGTGTTGCGGGTTTTGTTTGCGAATTTCGGTTATTCCGACACTCTATGGAATGAGAACTTGTGATATATAAATCGACTATTACTCGAGCGGTTTTTTTTTCGATAGACTATATTATTATAGTATATACGTATTTAGCTAGGTATAAGGAACAACGTGCCACCGTAAGATGATTGAAAAGTTCGCCGTGTGGGTTCATATAGCTATTTTTCGGTCAGTTTTTTTTCTTAAACCGTCAAACCGAAGCACTGCCACTAGTATACTGTGCAGTGTACGGTGATAAAAAAAAAAAATAATCCAAATTTACTGATGACAGGTTTTAACAGAAATAACTTTAATTGAGAGTAAATATTAATCATTATAGTTTTCAATATAATATACATTAGGGAGAGTCCGGACAGTTTAATCAATTCTTAGAAACTAAATATTAAAATTTATTTCGTAATAAATCTAAAGAAATATAATTAATGTCTAAAGAAAGCATGGCTGCATAGTACATATAGTAAAAAAAATTAATTCGATATTTTTCTAAATCAATAACCATAAGAGTGATGTTGATTTTCCTAAGAGATGGAACTGGGTGATATGAACATATCAAAGAATATCGTGATAAAAATCAAATTTTAAATGTTTTATTTAAGTTTCAGAAATTTGAATCTTATAGGAACAATTAATATAGTTTATTATTTATGTCACATTTTTAGATTTATCAATTATAATTACTTTTTCACTTTATTTTATTACTTGGTTCAAATGCCTCATACATTACCTCTACAAGATTGATAATTTATGAAAAAAAAAAAGTGAAATACCTTAAATAAAATTGATTGATATTCCATGAAACAAGATCAAATTGCGGAATTGTTAAAAAATACACTATACTTTTATTAATACCTTGAAATAAAAACAAACGCTGAGCAAATAATTACCTATTTTTTTTTTACGGTGATAAAATCAAAACATATTTTCATTGGTAACAAACGTCCAAACGTGCAGACGTTATTTGGGAACGCAATTTTGTCACATAGGTGGGTATTACGGCGTCGTAATGCCCGTTATGATTCAAATTTCGTCAGATTAAAATAGTGTAAATTTAAAAAAAAAATATGAGGGATGGCTCAGGTCCTCTCTTAGTTCAAGTACCCATTTATTCAATTTTATTATTGTTAAACAAAGTTGATATTTCCAAAATTTTTTTTAGATAATTTATAGTCATTGATGTAGAAATATTATGTAACATACATGATATTTAATCGGTGTGCTTGTGATTTTTCGGTTGTTCTGTACGATTAAAATCTGTAAAAATAATATAGGAAAATAAATGAAAGTATCATCAATATCTTGATAACCGATAAAATTCCGGGATTGTATTATATTATTTTATTTACAAAAAAAATAAAAAAGGTTTTTGAAAACGAAAACACACGTCATATCATATTAAAACTAA